GTGAAGAACACATTTGGGGAAGATAATTACTTTAGTTCTGGAGATGATGAATCTGAGGTTCCAAAGGGACAACCTAGTAGACATTAACTTAGGTGATCGCAAACATGTTCCTGGAATTTAGTAGAATGTTCAGAGCTAGAAGTGGAGATGTGGGAGTGTACGAAAAACAATTAACATAGGTGCCTGAAACTGCTATCCTTAGAAAAGGCCTGCTTGCAAAGTTGGCCCTTGGCTGGCATCTGGAAACTTGGATTTTGGAAATAGTCCCACCATTCTCAAACTGATGAGAGTGGTTTACTGTCTAAATTACTTGTGCAAACAGTATGGTTTATGCTTTTGAGAGTCTAGAATTTTGTTTTTAGGCAGAAGGTGCTGATATGACTAACTTCCAATAAAAACCTTGGGCATTGAGTCTGTAATGAGCTTCCCTGGTAGACAACACTTCACAGATATTGTCACAATTCAATGCTGGAGGAATTAAGCGCATCCTGTGTGACTCCACTGGGAGAGGACCCTCGGAAGCTTTGGCCTGGTTTCTTCTAGACTTCACCCATGTGCCTTTTCCCTTTGCTGATTTTGCTTTGTATCCTTTCACTATAATAAATTATAGCTGTGAATATGACTACATGCTGAGTCCAGTGAGTTCTTCTAGTGAATCACTGAACCTGGTGGAGGTTGTGAGGACTCCCAACACAGGAAATTATTAGGAATACCTGGTAATTCAAAACTTGGGAATAAAAATGTATAGAAACCCTCTCAATCTACATAAGTGCAATGGACTTGTCACGTGACCTGACTCCATGATTGGTTTGGGAGGAAAGGTCATCCTGCCTCACCCTGCAGACAAAAATGAAGATGCCTCCCTCCTATTTTAAAATATAGTGGTCTGAAATGCAGCCAAAGGACAAGGGTAACACTAAAGAGATTAAAGAAAGGTTCCCAATTATGCCAGAAGCAAAACTTATTTAGTTGAGAGTAAAGAAAGATCTTCTTGACATAACGCTAAAACAAAACAAAACAAAAAAACACCAAAGGTGCTGCGAGAACCAAGGTTATTCCCTTTAGCAAATAAAGAGCAAGACTTTACAAGATTTCTGGCATTGGATAAAAGACCCCAAATGAAATTGTCAAGGAAATAATTAAAGTTTTAAGGAAGTTGTATTGTCAAAGAAAACCTTAGCTTGCTGTATAGGGACCCACGAGTGTTGAACCTTTATGGTAGTCCCCAAACCAAGCACTAACATGAAAGTGCTAACATCAAAGCTGTCCACTAGCATCCATCCTGCCATCAGCACCACCACCAGCACCAATAGGGAAATCTTCCCTCAGTACCCTTAAGGTGGCCTTATATGACAGAATCTGGACCAGCCAATTGGCTCACCAAAGAATTTACTGTACATCCAGGTAAGTGAGTTAACAAAGAGATGCCCATGAGAATTCACTATTTCTGTCATTCACCTGGCTAAGCCTGCTCAGTATATTCTTTACTAGTAATCAATGTATGGTACTTCTTTCCCCCTTTTTAGTCTGATTTTTATCCCACCTCACTGTATCAGGTAGATAGGAGAAGCTACACTTATTATTTATCCCATAAGCTACAAGATGGCAAAGAGTCATAGCTAAGCCTGACCAAATCCAAGCTAATGGAGGAATGGACTCCACCCAGAGGACGTGAACTCAGAGTAGTAAATTGCTTCACTTTGCGATACAGAAGCTGTATGTGAATTTGGGTTGTCTCCCATTGGGGAAAGAGTGAACATGTTTGGAACTGCACAGAAAGTAGCTGGATTATGGTTAAGTAGAAGTATTTTTGTGATGAAATGTATGAGGAGGAGGAGTGCCTATGTACTGGGGAGACAAGAGGTTACACCATCTCAAACGAGATATTAATACAAAATAGGAAAAATACACCAGAAAATTTTTTTTTTCTTTTCCAGAGGAAATGTGATGTTATAAAGAAGAAAGGAAGAAAAAAGTCAAATTAAGAGTCTTCCAAACCTACTGCTTTCAGTCGATTCCGACTCATAGCGATCCTATAGGACAGAGTAGAACTACCCTATAAGGTTTCCAAGGCTGTAATCTTAATGGAAGGAGATTACCACATCTTTTCTCATGGAGCAGCTGGCAGGTTCAAACTGCTGACCTTTCAGTTAGCAGCCGAGCACTTTAACCACTGTGCCACCAGGGATCCTAAAAGAGTCTTCAGAGGGCTAATAATCAAACAAAAATAACACTTGCTAAAAGTAATCATGAATCCACAGGTACTGTAAGGGCAGATTATCTTCAGGAACTAACATTACTCATAATCACTTAAAAGAACTCAAAATCTGCCGCACCACTGACAACCATCACCATGTCCTTTGGAACATGGAACCTCTGGCCTTCTCAGTGATAGCTCCATCTGGCTTCCTAGCAAATAATCTCCTCACACAGATACCCCAGTGCTCTGATTTCCTATGTTACACAAGGTTAAAGGAGAGATCTTAAATGAGGCTGCAACCATTGTAAGGGGAATGACTCTATGTAGAGTGCTATTTCTACACAATTTCTTCATCCTCTGGCCATAGATTATTCAAGTAGAGAGACGCAGGAAGATTAGAAGTTCATTAGATGTGCTTGTCTGGCAGTAATACGCATGAAAATGCCTCATACTCGGTTTGTTAAGTCTGGTACTTTCCACAGCATCTTCAGATGCCTCATTCATCTTTTTTGGATTCATCTCTATAATATAAACTGTTTTTCTTTCAGAATCAGTCCTTCACTCTTCTCCACTCATGAGACAGAAAGGATGTATTTGCATATGGAGATTAGTCACAAAGCCATGATATAACAAAGTTAAATTAGAAAAATATCTTTAGGAAAAATTAGATTGAAAATGCCCCCAAGGCATTTTCTTCTAGAATGCAGTAGAGTGGGGAAAGTGTTAGAGATAAATGGCCCCGTGTTTGATTCTGAACTCTGCCACTTGCTAGTTATTAAATGGCCATGATACTGAAGGAGATCTTGGGAGGTTTCAATTATGAATTCATGTTAAATATTGAAAGGAAAATAACCTCCCAAGGGCAAATAAAAGATAATCAAGGATCATAAAAATCTAGTTCAAACTGGAAAAATGTGAGAAATGAGAAAAGAGGGTGAAAGGACTTAATAGTAGGAGAGTAGCTGGAAAGCTGGCAGTTTATAAGTTTGCAGAATGGCCACACTGTAAAGAACAAACTCAAAGTATCTAACATGGGCCATGATATATAAATCAGGAATTTCAAAACAACTGCTGCTTCATATGTTGGAGCCACGATAGGTACATTGCTAAATAGAAACTATGAATACGTAACGAGTCTTTGTATTTGTCATCAACCTTTGAGAAATGAATGAAAATATTAAAGAAAGTCCTTCTTTATTCCCAACTGGGATACCAATTTACAAAATTCATTAAGCTTTATGAGAAATGTTCCATACAGTACATAACCTCATTCTATTTGGGATCTCTTCATATGGTGGTAACATTACCATATTTTGCAAGGGACTAAGTAAAACAAAGAATCAGTGTGATTTTTTCTTTATCTCTTACCTTTTTCATTTCCCCCTTTTTGTTTTAATTTTCTAATTGGTTGGGTCAGGGGAGGTACTACTTCCTAAGGAATATTCCATATGAAAAATAAATGATGGCATTAGTATCCTGTGCATATAGGGAACAAATGATTAACACTGAAATGAGATATATATGTTTAAACGTCTAAATTAGTAGACTCTTGTAATTGTCATTTGTGACAGTTCTCCCTCCTCCGCTTGAGTGACTCTCCTTCACCTATAAATGTCTCTCTCCCACTTTCTCATATGAACCAAAGACCAAATGTCTATTTTTGTTTTTACAATTTTTTTGTTTTCATACTCTTCTTTCCTTCCAGTTTCATTATCATCCTCCATTAGATAATAACTGATGATGATGATGATAACTGATAAAATTATCGATAAAGATGTCTGTTTTATCACCAACAGTTCCCTTATTGGTTTGCTCCCATCTCTCAATTCCAGTGTTCTATAAACTACACTAGACCATTTATCAGGAAGGATCAGTCCCTGGAGGACATCATGCTTGGTAAAGTACAGGGTCAGAGAAAGAGAAGAAAACCCTCAACGAGATGGACTGACACAGTGGCTTCAACACTGGGCTCAAGCATAACAATTGTGAGGATGGTGCAGGACCAGGCAGTACTTCATTCTGTTGTACATATGGTCGCTATGAGTTGGAACTGACTCAATGGCATCTAACAACAGACTAATCTTACTGAAACATGAATAATGATCTTAACATTCCCCACTCAAATCATCAAGGGACACCTAGTATCTATAATAGAAATTCCCTAGTCTGACATTTAAAATTTTTAAATCTGACCAATCAACCTTCCCAGCCTCTTGTCCCATAACTACCCTACATAAACTACTTACTGCAAACAAAGTACCTAAAATCTTCCCTCCAGGTGCTCAATGCACTCCTTAACATTCCTGGGCATGCATCTGTCCTAATGAAGTGAACAGAATTACTAATCAGAAAGAAAAATGAAGTCTTGAGATATATCTAAGTCTTATACAACTGGCCTTGAGGTATTAGTCTTGTGATTTTGCCCTAACAGTATACCACAGAAAAACCGTGTCGTGTATTTCATAAACAAACATGGAAGTAACAACAGTGATTCATTTTATCAACTGGCTTTCAATTTCTAAAAGCAAAGATGTCTTTTCCAGGAAGACAGGGATTTCTGTTTGTCTTCTGATGAAGCCTCAACCCCGTTAACATTGCCTGACCCTTAGGAGGCATGAAATAAGTATTTTTTAGGGTGAATAAACCACAGTGGACCAACAGAAGGAAAAAAACAAAAGTACAAATACAGTTTGTGTTTTAGTATTTATTGGCAGAAATAGATCTTTAATGCATACTTTGTGTTTATATAAAGTGTACATTCTCTTAAAGGGTTTTTTATTAGAACTTTTTTTTATTTGGGTTTTTTTTTTTTTTGGTCTCCAAGTGAACTTAACATATTATCTATGCATTAGATTCTTCTTAGACATTTTTTTAGATTTTAAAACTAAATTCAAGATACCATGCATATTATGTACCTTACTTAATAACCCAAGGAATTGTTTGAACTTTCAAAAAAGTCACCAAAAAGGCTGAACTCAAGTTAAATAGCCTACGTATGTTCTAAAATTTCCATTTTCCATTTCTGAATAAAGAAATACTCATTCAATATTATATACTGCTTGCTGTCTAGTAGGTCAGATAGTCAGAGACGCTTCAGTAAATTATCTGTTTTTAAATGACATCTTAATCTACTTCCTCCCAGAGATGATCTTGTCAATATTAACATTGTGTCTTATGCAGAAATAGCCAAAAAACTTAAATAAGAACCAAACTGGTAGTTTCAGATTGGATATTTTAACCTAAAAATTATGTATCTCTATACACACATATGGTATGCTGCATATTAAATTTAACATTTCAAGTAACTTAAATACATTTTGCAAACATCCAGACAGACACTCTTTCATGAAAAGACACTGTCCTTATAGTAAAAAGTTAATCAAAGGTTTATTTGGACATCAATGTCTGGACATAGAACTAAGCCCATGAAACTTTAAAGTGCAAGTGAAGTCTGCCTGTACTATTAAGAAGAAGACTGATTTTCAACTCACTGAATTTTGCAGATATAAAAGTGCTTAGCATGACAAAATTACCAAAATAAAAAACATTTTCAAGGTTATTTGGTTCTAGCAATATTAACTTTTCTGTACTTTTAGATAATTTAATGTTTGCATCTTAAATTTATATAAACTTCCTCTTTTTAACAAGTTAAAAAAGCACACAAAAAATAGTTCAAACTATAATCTGTTAATTTTCATCCTGGTTCACTCATCACAAATAAGTCAACAAGAGAATGCTTGAATAGTCAGCGCTACTGAATGCAATATTTGAACAGAAGCCATTACGTCATCCACTGTTTGCTATACTGGACCCTAACACAGGCTGCCGACAGATGGGACAAGTGCAGTTCTCTGACAGCCAGCGGTCAATACAGTGGATGTGGAATTCATGCATGCAAGGTAACTGCCTGAGCTTGTTTCCAGTTACGTAGTCACTGATACACACACTACAGATTTTACTTAGTTCACTATCAATACTGCTATGCTCATAGTTCCGGGTAGAAAGATTGTCAATCTGCTCTTTGGTTAAACCCCGACTGCGGTTATCATCATCACCTTCATTTAGTAAAAAGAAGTGAGCAAGGCGAAGAATAGGTAGTGTTCCAGTTTCAACTAAATTGTTGGCATTTCTCAACTGCCTGTCACCTCTACTGTCACTGTTTTGGGCATGAGGCTGCATGGTGTCGTTTTCACCACGCATTCCAGTGCTGTCTTCCTGGGCCTGCCAGTCTTCAGAGGAACCTTCGTTGTGCGGGCTGCTATCATTAACTGTACCTAAGTCACCCAAATCTGAGTGCATCTCTGGTAAATGCTGACCGCTTCTCTCAATCTCTGACTCAGATTCAGCCTCCATTAGAGAACTCAATTCTCCAAATCCAGTCATGATCTGCCTTAAAATTGACCGAAGAGCCACTGATGATGGCTCAACAAGCTCATTCTCAGAAATCCTACGAAGAGGAACTGTTATGGTACTAACATAGGTTCGAATACCTGACCGCTCTAAACGAGAAATAGTTCGGCGAAAGCCCCCACTATTGCTTTCAAGAGTAACTGTATTTTCTGCTAGTCCTACCCTAGATCGAGTTCGATTTGCAATACTATCCCGATCTCTATTTTCTCCAGGACGAATCCTTCTCACTTGAAGGTCCAGCGTGATAGTTGGATGCCGTCGTACAGCAGTAGAGGACCTGCTGGATTCTTCTCCTTCTTCTACGGTTATTCTTGACACAAGTCTTGAATTAGAGAATGGGGTATATGTGGTACCTCTGGATTCTCTGTCATGCTGTAAGAAGCCATGAGTTATACCTCTCCTCCTGGCAGACCTTCTAATGGTACGCTGTGAAGGCCTACTCTCCCTTTGTGAATTATGATCAGCAGTGCCACTCTGTCTCTGAATTGGTGAACGGCTTCGACTACTGAAGGAAGACCGTAACCTTATTGGCTCTAATCTTTGGTTTGTATTCCTCACCGTAACATTAGTTCTAGCCCCGTTTTCCCAAACATGTGCTGCTCCAAATCGCTGCCCCTCCCTTTGCCTGAGTTCACCATCCCCTGCTTGGTCTGTGTGATCACTGGAATTAGCACGAGGAGTACGAGTCCTAGGAACGCCAACTGATCCTCTAACTCCATTTCTTAATCTTCCCAATGTTGAGTAAGAAACTTCTATTGAATTCTGCCCCCTTGAACCAAGCCTAGTCCTTGGCGTGTTTGAACTATTACCACTGAAATTCACTGAGGTTTGGCTTCTTGTTCGCCTAGCCACAGGACTATTTGATCTTTGATGCCTGTTTCTAGTATGATCTCTGCTAATATCTGTAAGTGGAATGCTCGCATAATCTTCTCCATGAATTTCAAATTCCCTATTCTCATGATTTACGTGGATTTCCAGACTAAACCGAAACTCTCCACTGTTTGGGTTTGTTCGACTCACAGCTCTCCATGTCTGGTTCCCATTTTGTCCACTTCGAGTTGCATTTCCTGTACGGCGAAAGGTGTTCAACCATTCTAACAGAGAATCTTCATTTGAACTTTCTCTAGGGACTTCTGAGTCTGAAAAACAAAAAATCAACTTAAGATCAATTCCTAAAAACTAAAAACCGAAGTTTTTACTAATTATATTTAAGAACAACTGCAATTTTAATGAATGAAAAAGAAAAAAAAATTAACTGAACTTTTTAAAAGAAACGTGTATATTATAAGGATATTATAAAACTTAAATACTACTTATGAATTACAAAAATTTAAATACTATTTATGCAAAGTTGTGGAAAAATGTTCACTCCTGATTTCTATCTGCCTGTAATTAGCAAAATGTTGTGGCAAGTAAGGAACGCATCGAATACCAAAATTGTATATTTAAATTGCTTTATTCATACTGTATTATCAGTAAACTGAAGTGGCAAAATTTTACGTATGATTCTTCCTGTATCTGTAGAATCCTTCAAGTAGAACCAACTCAATCAAAATTTTTGCAACTAGGTATTTTTGGAACCTTAAGAATTTTATCCTATTTTTCAAGAACTGCCAAAAATGTACAACTCAAAAACTCTGGCTTTCTAAATATGATGTCAGAACCACACTATTTGTTTTTATATGAAGCTGGGAGACTTTAGGCAAGTTACTTAATTCTCTATGCCTGTATCCTTATCTATAAATTGGAGATAATAATAGTATCAATCTCAGTATTACCATAAGGGTAAAACAATACACTATATAAAATAATTAGCACAATACCTGGCAAATAGAAAGCACTCAATAAATGTCAGCTACTATATATATCCCTGATGGCGCAGTGGTTAAGCACTTGGCTACTAACCGAAAGGTTGGCAGTTTGAGTCCATCAGTCACTTTTCCAGAGAAAGATGTGGCAGTCTGCTTCCGTAAAGATTACAGCCTAGAAACCCTGTGGGAAGTTCTACTGTGTCCTACAGGGTTGCTCTGAGTCGGAGTTGACTCAATGGCAATGGGTAACAACGGGTATATGTAGAAAATATATTTTCTGTTCACTTAGAATATAAAATCCATAAAGACAAAGAGTTTTCTCATTTTATTCACTGTTAAATTTCTACCATCTAGAGCAGTATGTGGTAGAAATTAGACTCTCAGTTAATATTTGTTGAGTAAATAAATTTAGAAATAAATGTGTCCTAGATAAACTTCTTTGGCCGTGATACTGCCACTGTGCCAAGCTTACATTTTTCTTTTTTAACCAGGGCAAAACTCCATGAAAAGCATTCTGATTCACAGTTTTCCCCTTAAACACTGTTCTACTCAAAAACACCTACTAAATGAAATAGATTTGATTTCATTTCATTACTGTAATCTCTCTCTCATAAAATTTTTTAAACACTGAAGTTAAAGCTGTTAATTAGCAGCTGGTGTCAATAAAGAGCAACTTCAGTCATATTCTCAAGATAAGCTACCTGTGATGATTGTGTTTTCCATTAAAATACATTCAAAAGACCAGTATTACTGGTGTACCAATATAGTAAAACTAACACATCTGAACACAAAAGAAGAAAATGGGCTTATATCCAATTTAGATTTTAGTTTGTGGAAAAAATATAGGTAAAAGGTAGGTAAACATTAATCATTTTAAATGCTACTTTCTTCTTTGATTAATTAGAATGCAGTGATGAAGGTGTATATGAAACAATTTGCTAATCATTTACCAAAATCTAGTCTACCCTTCCCCCACTGTTAAGAGTACTATAACTGAGCATGTGCACAGCCTGTGCCCTTCTCCACTGTAAGAGTACTATAACTGAGCATGTGCACAGCCTGTACCCTTCTCTCTCTGTAAGAGTACTGTAACTGAGCATGTGCACAGCCTGTTCCCTTCTCCCCCTGTAAGTGTATTATAACTGAGCATGTGTACAGCCTGGCAGTTAGATGTGGCCATGTGGACAAGTTCTCATCACTGCAATGTTAGTAAAAGTGATACTTCTTACTTCCAAGCTGGTAGCTTACAACTATTTGTTCCTTCTTCCTGCCAGCTGGAACCCAGATATGGTCATGACTTAGCCTGAGCACTCAAACAATTCCTTAGAACAGCACTGTCCAATGAAACTTCCTCAATAGCCACACGTAGCTATGAGCACTTGACATGTAGCCAGTGTGAGTAAGGAATTGAATTTTAAATTTTATTCATTTTAATTAACTTAAACAGTCACATGTAGCTAGTAGCTACTATACCAGATAGCACAGTTATAGAACCATTAGACTGGCTGGGTGTGTCCCAGGAGAATTTATGGAGAAAAGTTCGCCTATCTTCCCTGGAGTGCTAACACAAGAAAGAAATAAACTTCTATGGTACTGAGTCGTTGCACTTCTGGGTCTTTATATAGCCTTTGCCCTAATTAATACAATGATTTTAATATGTGAAACTACCAATAATGACTATCTCTGGAGAGAGAAAGGGGGCTGGTGAAGAGGGGCAAGAAAGTTGGCTTTTACTTTAACTCTACATCTGTTTAGCTTGAATTTTTAACAAGTACTTTTTTTTTAATAAGAACTTCTTATACTATGGCTCAGTGTTTGTTCAATAAAACAACCAAACAAACAAAAACAACAATAAAACAAAGGAACAAAAAGAGGTTGCCTGACATTCAGCCATTTTATACTGCTCTGTATATAAGCTTTTAGAAGCCAGGCGCAGTTACATCACTTGGGAGATAGTACTATGTACATTCTAATATTAAAAAGAACTATGCACAGTTCTGACACACACAGTGTCGCCAGGAGTCTGAATTGACCCGAGGACAGTCTGTTGGTTATGCTGGTAATTAACTTAATTGTAGAGTATTTCAAGCTCCCTGAAGGCAATCTGTGTATGAAGACACCTTTGTATTCATTCACCTGTGCTGTAGTGCCTAAGTATACTGTTTTACACATAGCACATACATGTTACCTGAATGAGTATCACGTTAAAACTGGAAAACAGTAAACACAAACATATTGTATAAAATCCACTAATTTCATTTCTGCAATTGTTCCCATCAAGCCTGTTCCTTAGGGAATAGAGTCCACAGTACCTCTAGTATTTGTCCCATTTTCCCTGTTTCTCAAGTCAGGCTGAGATGCTATTTGTTCCTTGACTCCATCTAACCGCTGTTGTAGTTCTTCTGATGTTATTTCTCCTAAAACAATAAAAAATTGCTCACTTTAACTAAAAAATTTTAAATTACCAAGTTTCATGAGAACCCATGAAGGGTATTAATCTTTAGCAATCTGTAGAAGATCATGTTTTATTGTCTTTGTATGTTCTGTAAATTGCACACAGTTAAAAACATTCAACTGATGCAAATATACATCAATTTAGTTTTATTAAAATTTATTAAAATAATATTTAATGTGAGTAATTGATAAAGTGCTCTCAGTTGATATGCTTAGGAACAAAGCTATAATTCTGTGGATTTTAATGCAGAGTTAAAAAAGAAATTAAGAAGGTAATATATCTAGAGAAAACTTAAAATCTTTACTTACTTGACTTTTACCCCAATGCTTCATCATACGGGTCATCAATATACAATTTAATTTCAGTTAGTTCATGCATTTGTAGCAAATTTATGGAGCCCAATGGACTTTTATTAATTCAGCTGAATAAATAAATTATAACACCCTCAAATGAGTTAGAATTGGGTTTTAAATCACAATATTTGTATAAATACTACGTAAGTGAAGGAGGACTAAATACGTAATGTTTAACACTGTTATGTACATCAACCTGTTTATCAGTTTGGCATCTGTATGACAGTGTTCCATGTCCAATGTTCTCATGTAATTATAAAATACAGAAGTCAGTCAGTTATTTTTTATTTTGTTATGTTCAAAATGTCCTTAAACTCATAAAAACTGTATACTTTGGGGGAAGGGGAAAAGGGGAAAAAAAAAAGAAAACCTCTCCTCATTTTGAAATTCTTCCTTCCAATGATGAATTAAGATATCTGCTCTTTCACCGATTTCTTACCAGGGGTGCCTAGAAGATTATGGTCTCTCATTAACCGGTAATCTTCATCACTGAGTTCATTAATAAACTGATAATAGGCTTCTTCTCTGTGAAGACGCTCTTGTTGCCACCTTCTCTCATTTTCGTGATGATTATGGTCTTGAAATGAGGCTTCTTCGCCACCATCATCTGATCTAGATCTAGACTGATTCATACTGAGATCTCCTGGCTTTCTGTCCAAACAATACATGCAAAACTCAAGGTATTAGTCATAGATGACACATGGTTTTGTATTTTAACCTTATAGCTTTTGTTTGTTTTTTGCATTTATTTGGTCTTTTTGTCCCTATTCAAAATACTTCATTTGCCAAATCTTGAGAATGTACACGTAAATGAAAAACAATTTCTAGGAGACAGAACACAAGTGGACCTACTTCTTTGCCTAAAGTCATAGTTTAAGTCAGACTGGATTTGACCTACCTCACATTTCCCCCATCTGAATCTCAAAGCGAGTATCTAATTTTTTTTAACCTCTCAATATTCTGGTTAACTCTGTCTAAAAGCCCTTATTAATGTTTGGAGTATCTAGATATTTCATACTAATACATAAATTTCAAGCTTTAATTATTTATGTTCTTTACTTAATAAGCAAAGGGCTATTTATTTATATTTATTTCCAGCAACAATATCCTCAAAATAAAACTCGTAAACTTAATATTACCCCCCACTGCCACTTTGTTGGCATAAAAATAATTTTTCCTACTGATCTCTCTTTAAAGCCTAATAGAAAGCCTTTTGAAACCTCACAGGAAAGAGTGCGCCATGCATGGTTCTGACGACTGCGAGAGTGCACACAGCACTGTGTCTGCCCACATGAAGCCTCACCCCTAAGCCTGGAATGGTTAGTCCCATGGGTTTCTGAGTACCAGGGAAACTTCCTTACCTTGCCTAAGCACTATTTTTATATTATACTTAAATGTCATCCCTGAGACGCCTACTTTTAAAATACAAGGAAATCCAAAACCAAACCCGCTGTTGTCGAGTCAATTCCAACTCATAGTGACCCAGGACAGAACAGAACTGCCCCATAGGGTTTCCAAGGCTGTAAATCTTTATGGAAGCAGACTGCCACATCTTTCTCCCAACGTGCAGCTGGTTGGTTCGAACTGCCGACCTTCTGGTTCGCAGCTGAGAGCTTTAACCACTGTGCCACTAGGGCTCCCCGCTATAAGGAAATCATGGCAAAAAAATTTTTTTTCATAAATATTTTAGAATTTTTCTTAAACATTTACTAAGTCACTAAGGCAATGGTTTTCAACTGGGAGTGTACATCAAAACCACCGGAAGAAACTAAAAAAAGAAAAAAAAAAAAAAGATGGTCAAATCTCATCCTCAATCCTAAATCAGAATTTTCCACAGTAAGGCCAACACCTACATTTAAGAGCTCATTTGAAGTGTTCTGTGATGAAATAAACTATTCTTTGACAATTTCTAGAATGTCACCAAAGGGTGTGTGTTAACATAAGTTAATAACGGCCGGTGGATCAAATGATTAGGTTGCCAGTTGTAATTCTGATTCTCAAAATATACTAGGTGTTAAATCAGCAAATTGTTTTAAATATAAAATTAGCTTACAGCTCTAACCTACTGTATAAGTGAGCCATTACCCAATTTCATGTGTACTCTAGCATGAAATTACAAATTCAAGAATTTTTTTTACAGTGATCATCTTGTCCTTTTTAATGAAAGATCTAGTAGGACTACCCACTCAAACGTGAAGTAACATTACTAAAAACTCAAGATTTCTTTCCCCTTTCAGAATAATCAGGACCAGAGAGCATATTTGGTAGAGACAGCATTAATAGAATTTTTGTACTAAACAATCTGAAATCTATCATAAATCAAGCTACTCTTACTATTATTCAAAACTTAAGAGCATCTCCTAAGAGGCAATTGCACAATTTACACAAATCAAAGTGAATACCTTATTTTCCTTTCAATATGCTTTTAGTATATGCAATGGTATCCATCCTTCAATTGTCTGTGCTTTTTTTGAGAGCTGCCCATCTGAAGCAATTGGAAGAGAGAGGAATTATTCAAATTAATCTGTCTCTTGGACGGCCGGAACTGCTGGCAGTCTCCCACCTCTGCTGCAAAGTCAAAGTAAACTCTCCCGTGGATTTTCTTAGTCACTAACCTAGAAAATTAGATGCCCATACAATTAGGTCATGAAAATCTCCCGCAAGGCCCTTTGCTCCCACAACAGAATTTTAGGCCTTTCCTCCTACACTGTCACAGCTCCAAGGATTACGCTCCTCTCCCAAAGGCCTTCCTGCCTATCCTCCCCCACGCTGCTGCTGCCAGGGTTAGGTGTGAATCCCGTTTACTTCTAAACCTTCACTTTCTTGCCACTCTGCCACTGGTCCTTTCCGTTGCGACGGAAGCTCGCGCCGGGGGACGGTCCCCACTACAATAAACAAACCCGGCTCAAGGGCCCAACTAACCTCGTCCCAACCGAGACTGAAGTAACGCTTCCCTTAGCGACCTAGCTTCCCACCCGGAAGCCAGTGACAGACGGTCCATCCCAGCCAATCACTAGCTAGAAGAACTGATTAAGAGAGCAGTCAACCAATCAGAGAAGAGGCGGACGGCCCCAAGGATGGCCTGCTTTCATCTGCGCCTCCAGGAAGTAGGGGTGGGACTCGCAGCTGTTTTCCAAGCTCACCTTGTCTGGAATGAGGGGTCCTCTCCCTGCCCAAAGGCAAAACGGCGGCAGCTCTCCTCTCGGGTCCTAAAACTATGACTAGGAGGCGGAAGGGGCTTGTTACCGCTTCCGCGCAGGCCGATTCGATCCCTAATTGGTTTACTGAGAAGCCGGAGGCCTGTGCTACAGCTTGGGATCGTCTAACTGGAGGGGAAGCTATGGAGGAGGAAGGGCAGGCTCCTGTGCTTTTTTCCCTAGAGCCAGCTCAATCTCCTACCGGCCGAGTCTCCACCTCGATCGAGGGGGGACGCTCCACCGTCTGCCGAACGCTCGCTGGTGCGCTTGAAAACTGCGTCCGGACGGGGAGCCAGGTGCCTGAGTTCCGCGTTCCGCCTACTCAACGTTTATGTTTTCTTGGGCTTTCTACGCTAGTGCGAGATACCTCAGCGCGCGTGGCAGCCACGAATGCCCACAGACACGTCCTAGTTGCTATCTTGGGGAATACAACACCTACTCTGCCCTTTTGTGTTACTCGTTGGCCAAGCCTGGCTACGGAGTGCAACGCAACAATCTGTTCATCTCTCTTTACTGTCCGGGTATGACGTAGGGAAACAACCAGGGCCTTTTCCTTACTCTTTTTGGGACCTAGGTATGACAAACCCTAATAAATCCTAAAATGCTTTTATTGACCTTCCGCTAAGAAATTAGACTGAAATTCCCCCACACGTCTGTCTCTGACTTTAGTTTTGAGATGTGAAGTTTACCAAACGCACCTCACCACGAGTTAAGGTCCTGACTAGGTCTCTCTCAGCCTGGTATAGCCTCCTTTCCTGATATCCCTACCATCCAGGTAACTTAATCACTGGACATTGCTCCTTCCTTCCTGCAGTAACTTTTGAGGAACTACTATATCCCCATCATTATTCTGGGAGGCCGAGTAGCAAACTGTAGAGTCACTATGAGTCAGGGCCCTGGTGGCGAAGTGGTTAAGAGCTTGGCTGCTAACTAAAAAAAAAAAAGGCCAGCAGTTCGAATCCACCAGCGGCTCCTTGGAAACCCTGTGGGGGCAGTTCTACTCTGTCCTATAGTGGGAATTGACTCCATGACAACGAATTAGGGTAAGAAAAAAGATAGTGTTTAGCATCAATGAACTACCAGTGTAGTATGAGTTTGTGAACAAGTAAAAAATAGAAATTAGGCAAGTGAAAAATATAAATTGTTCTATATACTAAAATAGAAATGAATAAATGGCACAGCCTACGAGGCCCATCAAGGAGCCCTGGTGGCACAGTGGTTAAGTGCCCAGCTGTAACCGAAAGGTCCAAAGTTCGAACCCATGAGCACCTCTGTGAAAGATGTGGTAATCTGCTTCCATAAAGATTAAAAACCAAAAGAAAAAAGAAAAAAACCCCGTTGCCATCAAGTCCATTTCAGCCATGAAGATTATAGCCTAGAAAACACTATGGGGCAGTTCTACTCTGTCCAAAAGGTCACTATGAATCAGAATGACTTTACAGCATACAACAACAATAACAAGACCCTTCCAAATCTCTCCCTGCATACCTCTACAGACTGATCTCTTCTTGGCACTCCAGAAGTATTCGAAGTTCCTCAACAATGAGAGGGGTACTCGTAAGCCACTCCAATCATGCTTTTATCTCACTAATTTCCTCTGTCTCCTGGGACTTGGCTCAACTCTCACTTAAAGAAATTTCTCTGCAGTGACACCCTCACACCACCCTCCAGCTCAGTCTGTACCCATAAAACTAGGCAGGTGTCCCTTTTGGGGGTTTCTATAGCTCCCTCTGTATGCATCCATGTTAGCCCTTATTATTTAATAAATATTTACTGAGTGCCGGCTACATGTTAGGTGCTGGTATTAACAACAGGGAATCAGACAAACAAGGTCCCTGCCCTCATGGGGCACACGGTTCAGTGGAAAAAGACAGCCATTGTCTTAGTTATCTAGTGCCGCTATAACAGAAATACCACAAGTGGATGGCTTTAACAAAGAGAAATTTATTTTCTCACAGTCTAGTGGGCTAGAAGTCCAAATTTAGGGTCAGCTCCAGGGGAAGGCTTTCTCTGTTGGCTCTGGAGGAAGGTCGTTCTCATCAATCTTCACCTGACTAGGAGCTTCTCCGCACAGGAACCCAAGGTCCAAAGGTTGTGCTCTGCTCCTGGTGCTGCTTTCTTGGTGGTATGAGGTTCCCCACTCTCTGCTCGCTTCCCTTTCCTTTTATCTCTTGTAAGATAAAAGGTGGTGCAGGCCAAACCCAGGGAAACTCCCTTTACATTGGATCAGGGATGTGACCTTAGTAAAGGTGTTACACTCCCACCCTAATCCTCTTTACCATAAACTTACAATCACAAAATGGAGGACCACACAATACTGGGAATCATGGCCTAACCAAGTTGACACATATTTTTGGGGGACACAATTCAATCCATGACAGCCATTGAACAAGTACTTAACATAATTTTGTTAATTTATAGGTCTAGTCCATTGGCGTCTAAACTCCTTATGTGTGGACAAAGGGCTTTTATTCAATTTTATAGTCCCAGAATTTAGCACAGCACCTGGCAGAACATTCTCCTCAGTCTACTGCATGGATGAGCAGATGAAAAACTGCAAACTTTTTGCAGGCAGGATTAATGTGTGTTAGTATAATGACCTCAGAAATTGTAGGTGTAAGTCAGAGAAAACCACACGTGAGGTAGCCAAAATTCAAGCAGAAATCATTTTAAATATCTCTTTGAGTTTTAAAGAATGCAATATTTTATCAAGTACAAATACTTTTTGTTATGCAAAAAAGACTTGTATATCCTTTAAGAGTCAAGTAAATGTAAAATCTAATCAAGTGATTTCCCTGTCAGAAAGCTGTAGATTTCTGTGAGTAGGTAAGAATCAAGTAATGTGTGTAACTTGAATTCAACACATTGCTTCAGTTTTTTTTTTTAAATGCCTTTTATTTAAATTATTTTATTGTAAGAAGGAAAACCACATAATAGGTCTCTAAAGGTGAAACTGTTTGCATTGTGCTCTAGGTGAAGGTTTACAGCGCAAATTAGTTTCCCAGTCAATAGTTTATACACACATTGTTCCATGACATAGGTTGCACTCCCTGCAATGTGTCAGCACTCTCCCTATTACCACCCTGAGTTCCTCATTTCCATTCATCGGGTTTTCCTGCCCCTTCCTGTATTCTCATCTTTGCTTTAGGGCATATGTTGTCCTTTTGGTCCCATGTAGCTTACTGTTCTAAGGAGCATTTTCCTCATGGGTGTTATTGTTTATTTTATAGGCCTGTCTACTATTTGGCTGAAAGATGATATCTGGGAATGGCTTCAGTTCCAAGTTAGAAGGATACCTAAGGGCTATAGTCTTAGGGGTTCCTCCAGTCTCTCTCACACCAGTAAATCTGGTCTTT